TAGCGAAAGAAACTTATTTCATTTTCTCTTTGCATACACAGACACAGAGACACCTTCACACACACGCACACACACATACGTGCATAAATTAAAAATGCATTAAAAACAAATTGCTGACTGGCCTATAAACAGTTGCAATGCGATAAATGCCATTAAGTAGTCTGAAAAAGGGTTAAAAGTGTACAAATTTAAGGCTTATTGAAATGGGAAATAAATAATTAGGTAAGAGGGAGCGAAGAAATGGCAAAAATATATTGAATCACTAAAGAGAATACAGCTAGAAACTTAGTCTAAAGATTATATAAGCATATTATTTTCGTATATCAATTCATATATCAACATAAGTTTACTCTCTAGTATTTAAAGCCCCTTTTAAACATATTTTGCCAATTTATAAGAGAGATTTCAGCTTTGCTCTCGGTATCAGCTATGCTGACTGAACTGAAATTGGTTTAACTCAGTTTCAAATATCTTAAGCTGCATCTCCATTTGCTTGCGTCTGTAAGTCGCAATCCAAGTGACATGCGAAATTTCAAAGGATTAAATACATGCACACACACACACACATACACACTCTCTTACAAATGACAGCAAATGCAAAAAGGGAAAGCAATGCATACATATATTTTTGCAAAGTGTTTAATAAATTATATTCACAGCATCTATTTGTCCATGTTCTGGTCCCACATGACGTATGAGTAATGCAGAAGCTGAGTGAGAGAAAGTTGCTGCAAAAAATTGAAAGCAATTTATTGTGCGCAAGCGAGAAGATAAAAAACTTGAGTAAAAGTTTCAACTGGTTTCGGTTAACAGTTAAAAGTTGGGCCAATCAAACTTGAATCAGGGAGTCAGCAAGAGTTTTCGTTCTATACACACTCAGCTCACAAAACAGTTTAAATACAGCATGTTAATTCATATATGAAAATAAATTTATTTTCAAACATAGAAAGCAAAAAAAAGTGATTTAAATTTCATCATAAAATGGTTAAAAATCTAAAATTTAAACAAACACTTGAAAGTTTTGCCTTACCATCCGCTCGAAGTTTCATTGAGACAATTCCCCAATGTTATTCCCATGGCCAAAATGGATTTGTGTGTGTGTATGCGTGTTGAATGCTTTTGACCCAAAGCCAAAGTTGGAAAACTCGACAAGAATTTCAAATTGATTACTATAATTTGCTGTGGCAACTTTTGTGGCCTAGACATTTTCGCCATTTAAATAAAGATTTGCAAGCCAAACACGCCCAAAGCGTTACCCAAAAAGCAGGCCAACTAAACTTTTCAGCAAACCAGCAGCTGGACAAGAATAATTTAAGCTTTATGATAAAGCAGATTTGAGACCAAACGTTGCAGATATCAAAGTACTGCAAAAAAATATAATATACGATGTGAAGAGATTTGTATATGACACGAAATCAAGGTAGATTGATTACTATTTTAAGAACACTCAAGTTTCATTATTAATATATAAATGTTATTAGGAGAGTTAAAGCTAATGATTTTAGACTCAATATAGGGTGGATACTTCCATGGTCACATGGAATACGTAATTACGTATAATTCAGTTTACCTTGTAGTGAACTTAATAGTATGAAATATGAGCTCAAAGATCTGATAATGAAAATAAAAGCCTTAATAGACATACATACGTCAGTTAACCTTAGATTTATATTGATGATATTGACAAAAGGTTTATATATATTACGTAAGATTGTTATCAAAGATATGATAGTAATTTAACGAACTATATTACGTATAAGTTGTGACGTGTGAAAGGCCAGTTAGTGCCTTGATATAAAGTTGAGTCAAGCGTACGTATGTATAATTATGTCAATGTCCATAATACATTGTCAATGGCCCAATACTAAGAGGCACTAATATATTCATATTACGTATACGTATCTGAGTATATGTCAGTTGACTGTAGGCCGATATTTTTGATATGAAATCCAATTTAAATAAGTTTACCTATACGAATTCGTAATTCTATGTACGTAATACATATTAAATTAAGCCATTGCCAAAGAAATATTACTCAAGGAACACTATATGATATATATATGTGATATTTCTATACATATTAGGTATGCGTTAGTTAACTTTATACTGAAGCTAAATGTTTGATCATGTTTAGGTAAATTTAAATTAAATTATTATTTATATAAAATATGTATTTATATCAATTAAAAATATAATTTAAAAAAAGCTACAAATATATATAACAATATAGTTATTTAAATGAAACCATTGTTTATATAAACTAGATAGTTATATAACTTGAAAATATAAATTAAAAAAAAAAAACAAATATAATAACGTTCCCTATCTGACGAGATCAATGCCAAATGCAGTCGAAAACACATCGATGCATTTTTATGAAAATAGAAATAATTTAGCGAATTATTCATTAGCCAATGCTTGTTGAACTTTGCAGCTTTCCCATATTCATGGAGTAAAGACAAATCCATGTGCTAAACAATGTATTAAATTCTGCATTTAATTAGTATATTGTATTTAGCTATGGCTTAATTTGGTTTGTTTGCAATTATGTTGTTAGCACAAACTGTATTTGTTTGTTTGGCAAGTGCCAGTGTTTGCATTTATGCAAACTTGCTTAAATGCTATGCGTGACTAACTAAATATATATTCAACACTTTAAGTATGATGCCTCACTTGATATATATGGCTGGATTGCAATCAAAGCAAGTGGAATGCCAAAGGACGAGCACATTTATGGCATTGCTGACAAATGAGCAGCCTCATCAGCACTAGCAAACATGAAAGACTGTGTAAGCTGAGCTAAACGTCATTAGCAAAGCCGGAAGGGTCATTATTAGCGTCAGTAACGTCGACTGCACTTGGCTGAGTTGTTCAGTTCAGGCATTGCCAACACTTCCGGTATTTGCAGTGAGTCGTGCCAAAGAGCAGCTGCCTCCAGTGTGGCCCGCGGTTGGCAAAAGCCGAGCGGAAGCTGCAGCAGCAAACCAGTTCAGCTAAGCCCAATGATTGGCTTGTTATTTCACTCTTTGCGGATATTTTTCCGTTTGCCTTGGCCGAGTACACAACAAATAACAGCTTAACCAGCTCTATTCAAATATAGCTCTCTATCTGTGGCATATACTTAATATATTTTATATTAATTTTAAATTTATTTAATTAACCGCAGGGTGACAAAATAAATGACAACATATCCGATTGTCTGTGTCTCTGCCAGCTGCAAATGATTTTTCATGACACAAAAATAAATTGAGTTTATTTCTCATTTTTTCGTTCTCTAAATGACGTGTAATTTAATATTTATATATTTAATTGCAAAATGTTTGTTTATAATTATTTAAAATTAATTAAAACTTTAAACTGTTCATTTATAGCTGGCTTGTGAGAGCTGAATTTACAGTAATTGCATTGATTAGTTCAAATCATGCAATAAATTTAGGTTTACAAAAAAAAGTATTTTGATTGAAGCTGCTATAACAATATAATGTTGAAAGGCATAAGGCTAAGTTTACGTAATTGGAGTAATGAAAGGTGGGCTATGGTTATACAATTATAGCTTAAGGGTAAAAAACTTTCTACTTATATATACAATAAGTGGTTTTTAGAGAAGCACAATTTTCAGTAGGCAACATTACTTTATTTAATAGTCCATTTAACAGCTAATAGTATTTTATTGTTTAGTTAGGCTTAAATATATTTCAATAATAGTTCTGGTCTATTATAGAAATTGTGTTCCAGCTTTCAATTCAGTTTGTCAAAATCATATTTAGAAATTATTGTCATTAAATGTTCTAATAAATAAAGCTTATTTTTGTATATCAAAATAATATTAATTAATTTATTACAATTTAAGCTTGTTCAACTCTTAAAAAAGCAACCTTTATATACCTTCAAATATTTGCAATAGAAATATTTTACAAATTTGCAATGAATAAATATTTATTAAGAACAACTAAATTTCAAAATATACGAAAACAATTTAATGCCTCAGCATCTCTAGCTTTTACACAAGTAAACACTTGATTAAACATGTTTTCTAAGAAAATTATCTAATTAATTTCTAGTTGCTAGCCATGTCGAAAGCATAGAGCAAGAAACCTGGCAGTAAACAAATGCGATAAAATCAATAGGCCAAGTAAATTGGAACAAACACAAAACACAAACAGTATGTAATTAGACTGGGCTTGTAGATTGAATAACGGATTTTCATTTAACCAATTCCTAGATAGAAACATACTTAGGCCTGTGCACATGAGGACAGCGCCCTAGTCGGAAGCAAGCTGCAGCCGAACAAATGAACATGAACCAATTATTAAATTATAATACGGCATACTCAAGTAGGAGAGCGCAGGGGCTGTAAGAGCTCAAAACTTGGCCAGCCGAATAATTAAGTTACAACAAGTCGAGGGGGGGGGGGGGGGGGGGGGGGGGGAATCAGATAATAAACATAAACACAGTCGTGTCCTGCAGCCTAACAGTAAATGGAAATGCAAAAGAGAAACATATGCATCAAAGCTTAGCCTTGGCGCGTCGCGTTGTCAGCTCGCAAATGGATTTTTGGCTGGCTTCCGGTACAAATCAGCGCCATGTCCTGTGTGTTGGAAGTGCACTAAATATTGCCTGTTAACAGTCCCTTGACACGCATGCCGACATGCGAAACCGTTTCTATTTGAATGCCCTGCTCGCCCCCACGGCGTACGCCTGTCACGCGCTAACTGACACTAACATATAATTGGTAACCATATCCTCGGCAAATTCAATTTGTACTATGCTCCGCACACACTAAACTAGTTAGAATACATTTCCACTATTCTATTGCTTATCTATTACCTGTCCGAATTGTCACTCTCCTGAATATGCTATTATAGCCAAGGAAATGCATGGCAGGTGAAAGAGTTCTGACAGCGCATAGAAAATAAGAGTTTGAATATAAAGCTTTAAGATCTAAAATATCTCATGAAATATTTATAAAACATTTATTATTTATTATAATTCTTTTCGACACACTCCTTTGGTATATTTCAAATAAAAACTCTCTGAACATGGAGTCCTTCTGGAGCATTGGTAATATCTTGACGCGACTCTTTAACACACAGGCGCGGCATACAGCAAATAAAACAAGTTAAATTTTTATTAAATTATCGATAAGTGTGTCTAATTTATCGATAACTTCGTACTTTAAATTTGTAGAGGAAGAAGCATACACCTAGTCGCGACTCAACGCCAATTGTACTAATGGCAAGACCTTTATAGACGATAAATCAGCCAAAATTGACTCGATGCTGTCAAGTGAAGACACCTGCATTAAGCTATCCTTGCGAAAGCTTAATATTATAATGGCAAATAGTGGCAAGATCTCCAGGCTATCATAGCCAAGAATCTGAAAAGAGAGAAACATATTTACCAATCACAAGGCTGCGATGGCTAAATGCCTACCAAGTCCCATAGAACGAGCAATTGATCCGGTGGCAGATGGCCTGAGAAGCCGCGCATCAGCCATTTGAAGACAACTCTGAGACTGAAATAAGGAAAAGGCTTAAAAAAAGTTAGAAATGGAGTCAACAATTAATGTAATACTTACGGCTGTATCTGAAGCTCACGAAAGTGCGACCACAGCTGAGGCTCGTAGGTCTGCAGCAGCTTCTCGAATAGAAGGCACAGGCTAACAATGCCCTGCGGATGCGTGTTGATCGTGGTCAATCGATGGCAATACCGTATGTAAAAGGCACGAAATGTATAATATAGGCACACGGGCGAATCGTACAGGTAGCAAAAGGGTGCAGCGAACATGCAGATGCCATGAAACGGCACCACGCCCGACGGCGGCCCCTCATAGGTCTTGCCCTTCACCGGAAACGTTTCATACTCCACACAGTTGGCAATATCCGTGTCCCGGGAGAAGCACAAGAGCACCTGATACAGCACGTCCTCGAATACGAAATACTGATCATCGTTCGAAGCCGTCAGCTGTATGTCCTTGAAGACAAGCTTATCGACAATATGATCGGTGGTCCAAACGCTGTTGCGCAGCTTTTGCCAGTTCTCGATGTCCTGTTGAGAGAATTTGAATAAAAGATTTATGTTTATGGAGTGGTGTTCAGTCGTGGTATAAATTATTTATATATATATATTTTTTTATATTATTGTAATTGTATTTCAATACCCATTAAGGAGCTCAGTGATAGACAAGCATAGAGATCTTTAAATTTGTATTAAGCCTAAGCGCTGAGCGACAACGAAACTCAGTTTTCAATGGCCAAATTGGGAGCCCAAATTGTCTCTGAACACTTCAACTACTATTGAAGGCTTGGGAATTTTTAGGGCGAGAGTGTATCTTTTACAAGTGTTTAGTAAATTTTCGACTTTATCACAATTTTTTAATCACAATCACAATTTTCTTAAAGCAAATTCTACTCAATAATAATCTCATATTAAACTCACGTAGTCGTGCAGCTTGCTATCAAGCACAGCTGCCCAAAGGGCTCCACGATAGGGAGCTGGCGTACAGCCCTTCTTTAAGTACTGCTGACACATTGGCGCGAGCTTGCTATCCAGAATAATCTGGCACTGGACCGCCGAGTCGTGGATGTTGTAAGGATCGTTGCGCAAGAGATCCGCATAATGTGTACGCAGATCGAACAGATTTTTCACAGGCAGCGCAATATGCGAGAACTCCCATTGGGGTATTTGACTAAAAGCCAAAAAATAGGGTTTTATACTAAAATATTTTTAGCCAAAACACTTACTCGTTGTCCTCATTGGGTCTTGTGGGTCCCTTGAGCGAGAGCAAAACCTCCAGCAAATCCTTGGGCGCATATACAGGGCGATAACTTGCTAGATCTAACGAAAGTATTAGGGTTAGCTTAGACAATCGGTGTTTAGGTCTCTCATACCCATGTTGTAGTTGCTGAGCTCATTCCATTTGGCAACGAAATCCTCGCGATCGGCGCTGATGCGCGGCTGACCATGCAGCGGCACCTTCAGCTCTCCACACATGGCGTTTAGACTCTTTCTCACACGCCGATCCCACAGGACGCCGGCCCGTTTCAGATAGCTCAACGGATCGCTCTGCAATGATTTCTGAATGAAGTAAAACTAAGTAATTTAGCTGAACTTCGAAGTGCTTTGGCACTCACCGTCGTTTGTCGCACATCTGGTGCATCGATCTTCTTCAAGCGACTGCGCACCAAATTGAATATCATATTGCGTATCTCTGTCTCCAGGCCGGCCGCCTTGATGGCATCCTCCAGCGTGTTGCGCATGTCGTTCTTGTCGACGCTGGGACTGGCAACGAGACGCTGTAACTCCTTGTAGATTGGCTCATAGCATTTGGCATTCTTAATGGCAGCAATTACTTTTGCAGTCATGTGGTGTATACTACTATCCTGTAGCTCCTCCATATCTGCTACTTGACGCGCTTGTTCACTTAGACACTATGTGTGATTTTGCTGTTGCTGCTACTTCTATACAGCCAAAAACATTGGCGCATTGAACAATTTCTATCGATCAAACTTGCGTCGCCAGCTTTGATTTCCATTCAGGTATGTATTAACACGACTACACATAGCACAAGTTGTATTGGAACTAAAAACTTTCGAATGCTTCCTAGTTACGGAATGCAACCACTTGTTTGGCAGCTTTCGTCCTCGCAACGGACACACCCCAAAGGCTGTCGGTGCGCAGCTATCAAAAAGCCATTGGCAACGTCTATTGCAAACATTTAATTAAACTGTTCAAAACTACAGTTTTTTATGTGACAGCTCAATTATTCAGAAAGCAGTCTCCGTTGAAAAATTTCGTTACATGAAAAAACTTTTTAAAGTTTTTAATTACAGAAATTATGAATTTTCAATTTAATAATTATTTATTTTATGCCTTGCAAATCTAATTACAATTAGGTAATTAAGTTTAATAAACAAAAGACTTAAAATATTAATAGCTAAAATTTAAGATTAAAGCTAGTTAAAATTTTGAAATGTCTAGAGACTCCAAAGATTGCATTTTGCATCTTATTTTATGAGTCTTGAGTAAAGCTTAAAAAATATATGTAATATATAAATAAAATAAAATAAATAAAACAAAAATATGTTGTTGCCATAAATAATAAATATTAAGTTTCTAAGCACAATAGAAATATTTAAAATAAAAAATACAAGTAAATAATCATCTTTAATAATCTCATTTAAATTTTAAAAAATACATTCATGGTACTTCTTGAGGCACATCAGCGTGCAACAATCCTCAGCACGACGACAACGCTCTCCGCTTCCTTTACAAAGTGATTTCATGTCTGCAGTGGGATAATGCTGAAGTTGATAGATGAGCTTGTAATGGGGCATATAAATATAAATAGTCAGGCCTACCTTTGTCACATTTCTGAGGGGCGGTATTAATAGATCTTGTAAGACTCTATATCGCCATTGATAATTGTCGACTTCTAGCTCCTTGCTTTTTTCACACAGGACTAAGCACAGTCCGAATACAACAAAGAAAATAATTATTGAACATTTCATTTTTAGTTGTTTTTGTTACTGAGCAGCGAGTTAGGATTGTATAGCTTACATAGGTGGCTTGGTAGATATAGAAAAACATATGCGACACATTATAGGCCATTTAGCTAATGCTAATGTGAAGTTGTTTTTTAAAATATTGCAGACTGAAGAACTTTTCATATAATTAATATTAGCTAAACAGATTTAGCTCTAGAGCAATTGAAATAGATTTAAATTTATGGCCAACTGCAAGCACTTGCTCAGCTGGTTATAAAAGCTTCAATAAACTCGGCTTATTGTTAGTAACAACAAAACCTTCGATACACTCTCAATGAAGTCTCTGCAGATTATTCTAGTTGCCATGCTGGGTCTGATGCTCTTCGCAAACGCTATGCGTCTGCGACCTCACACATGCAAAGCGAGAACAACAGTTGGTCCTCAGCTGATGAAACTTTCGAAGAACCTGACTAGAGTAAAAGAGAATTCCAAATATTTTCTTTATTATATTACGTAACGCGCATTTTAATTATTGATTCACAGATGCAGCGCTTAAGCCTGGCTGACAATTGCAAAGGTATTGGCATGAAATGCCGCATCGCCGAAGAATGTTGCACTTTACAATGCGTGATGGAAAGTCAACGGTGTATTGATTACATAGCCCCCAATGATATACCAGCTAAGAATATATATGGTGAATAAGAAATGAGCTCAAATTACTTAAAATGTATTTAAAATATATTACAAAAATGCTTTGAGATCTTACTTTAGTTATATATGTATTTTGTCAAGTCCTGATTGGCAGTGCTTCTTGTGTAAGATGTAAGGTAGGTAGCTAGGTAGAACAGCAATAGCATATGATATATTAGCCTTGAGCTGTGGCGGCATTGTTAGGTTAAATAAAAAAAACTGATTTAGGCCTGATGTATTGGACCGAATTATTGAGCTGACTGCAATCTTTGCTGAACTCATCCTCGCTCCGTTCTTATGAACTAGGAGCACTGGCAATAAACATCAGTTTTCATCCTCTACAAGTAACTGATCTTATTATAGTTTCCCACGGCGGGTTCTGGAAGCTTAGATCACAACATTTAACTCAAGTTCTTTAATCAGAATTTCTCAACAAATAAGGCATAACAATAAATAAGGCAGTTGCTAAAGCTGCGAAAATAAAATACTAAACATCCATTAAATTAGACTCTATGTATTTATGATTCAGCCTACATATATATATAATGATATATGACTTAGCGCAGATTTATTTAGTCAAGTCCAAAAGTGAATGCACCTCTTGTAACGCTTCACACATTGCTGAGAGCAACACTCCTCAGCATACAGGCATCTTTGGTGCACCTTTTTGCAGCTGGCCAACATGATATCTTTTTGAGCCTACAAAAATGTGAGTAAACAAATCTGACTTAATTTAATATAATTTATTAATATATATATAGTGACTTTACCATTGATAGATTCTGAGAGGGAGCCATGATGAGATGCTCCAATACTTTATGTTTATTCGTCGGCATCAAGTGATAGTCCCGCCAAGCTTTCCTTACCAACGGGTCAGTCAAACTCTCCTTTCCCATGAAAAGGAAACACAAGAAAATGACTAGAAATCGATGCATTTGACTTATTGCCAGTTCGCTGATTGACTGCAAACGACAATTACTGAAAGCCTTTATAGACTCCGTCTCGCTGTGTTTGTATCAAAACACATGTGAAAACACACTTTATTGTGTATTCAACTAGTTGCAGCTTTGCAATAAAATATTCTGCTCAGAAATAAGAGAATTTATTTATTTTAAAATGCAAATCTGCAAACAGATGTCAAAGCCAAACTGGCAGAGCAAAAGGTAAGTAGAATATGACTGACTGCTTAATACTCGCTCAAGGCCTAAAGGCCTATAAATTCTATACAAAGTCTATGCTTGCCTTGATCTAATGAGCAGGTTATATAATTTATAGATGTCACTGCTCCAAAATCATATTTAAGCTATAATGTCATAAGATTTTCAATCCAAAAAAATTAATTTCAACAATATTAAAAATATATTTAATTATTATTTTATAATTTAAACTTCTGTAACTCCAAAAAAAACATCCTTTTTATGATCGATAATTTGTCATCACAAAGAAAATTGTTTAAAATTTATATTAAGAAAATATTTTGTATTTTTGAGTCACACCCCTTGGGCCATAATTAACAGTTATATTTCAAATCTGAACCTCATTTTGCTAGCCGGACATCCAAATTGAATCAGCATCCACTAGGAGAACAGACATAACTCTACAGCAACACTTTGTAAATTGTGCATTATTTATTTGCTTGTGGTTGTTGTCAGCTGGCGAATTTATGAGCTGCACTTGTTACTCATACGACCCGTTGTACATTGTCCATGTGCGCAGTGCAAGACAAATCGATTGCACTTGCTGTGGCATTTGTTTGCTTTTTTTCCTGTTTTCAACATTAATTTATTGAGCACTTACTTATGCCCAAGATAAAAGTCCAGAAAAGGGAAACGAAATGTAGATAAGAAAATCAATTATTATTTTTAAAGAAAATTTATAAAAATAAATATAGTTACAAATAGAATATTTTGTTAATTAAATTAAAAAATTTAATATTTAAAAAATTCGAATTATTATATTATCTATAATTATATCTTTCACAGTCCTCAACTCTCAGCTACAACTTTCTTATTAGACATCATATAAATAAATTTATCATTTATATATAACACAAGAAGTTGTTAGAGCTAGTTGCTTGATGGTAGCTGCAGCAAGTTGCATGCAACATGCTTGACTCAACTCCAAGCAGACAAGTTTTTATCTTATGTTGAGTTCACACCTTAAACTATTTCCCCATATCATTCTATTCAGTTGCTCTGCTAAGATGAAGCAACAACATCCCTCGTTTACAGTTTAGCAAGCTTAATATATCTTATTTGTTCTTTTTTTTATAAATATGCAAAATATTTAATTTTATTCGGAAATATGTGAAGAAGCACATATTGAAGTGTTCGTACTCTAATGATCTATTTAAATTGATTATGTTGATCATATCACCATGATCTATTAATAAATTCTCACATATTAAGATTCCTGACTTGATTTTACAATATTTGCATAAAAATGAATCTTGATGAACAGTTTTTAAAATGTGCTTACAATCTTATTAAATTCACAGTAATTTAGTTATCTACACTTGCCATCGGACTTATCCGATTATAAAATAAAATATTGAGCAGCATTTTGCTATAGATTTTAAGTTTCTTCAGTTCATAAAGTTTTTAATGTTTTTTTTTCTTCTAAAAATACATTTTTTAATTCATAATATTCCTTTTTAAAGTGCCAACATTATTTCTAATCATTTTATGTGATCTTCTACTTCCGATGCCTTCTTTAACTCCTCAATTGTAACGTGGCATCGTCCATTCATGGTCCTCTGCAGTTTTGGAAACAAGAGAAAGTCACAGGGGCAGAGGTCTGGGAAATACGGGAATATCCTGAATACACCTTGGTAAGCACAGCTACACAGTCACAAAGTTACGACGATATGTAATTAAGGGCCTGACAAGCAGCTTCATTAACAATTCTCTCTCTCTGCAACAGCATGGAATTCCATCTTTTTCACAAGTGTACAGAATCCAAAGAAGTTGTGCAGTTTGAACACATGCCTGGGCGAGTCAGCACGTTTGAGATACAGATGCAGATGCAGGTAAGCCTACGGCCACGTCGCTGACCAAAGTCCTATGCGGCTTGCATGTCCTCTGTGTCCTGTGCGGCCAGCCATGCACAAGTGCACGTTAAGCGTACCGCAAGAATCCTTAGACTTCGTGGATTGCATTAAACTCAACGAGCATTTTAAATATGCAGATCAAAGTGTCCACGCCGCTGTGGCAACTTGTGTGTGGCCCGGACTGCAGTTCACAAATAAGTAATGCGATTCAGTTAAACGAGGCTTAGCATTTCAATTGCAAATTATTTACATTATCTTTTTTCTGTTGTAAACATGGTTTATATTTCATTGTAAAGTGAAAATCATGGTTTAATAGTTTTGTCCAAATGTGTTTAACAGACGGAAGGAGGCGTGGGTTGGCATGGCATCTGCCATGCCTCCTTATGCCTTTATCATACATTCATATGTATATATTATTGATTTAATTTAATTTTAATTTAGTCCATTTATATGTCTGTTCGTTTGTCCGTATATATGATGCATCGGTCTCAGAGCCTATAAAGCATGGGGACTTTTACGGATGCTTTTATGATGCTCTCTCATAATCGATAACTATTCCCATTTTAAAATTATCGATTAAAAGCTTTATTGAAATTTTGTTCTTAAATTATATTTTATAAGTCTTTAAAACTAAATTTTCACTTAGTTGTTACATATTCATTAGTATATGCAGATCATATGCTAAACATTTCAGTAAAATCCCTTAAGTAGCAGAGATAATGTTCTTTGTTTAATGTATTTTTTTCCGAAATTCCTTTTACACCAAATTTTTGCTTCCTTATTTATATCCCCAATTCTGAAGTCAAAACTCTCAACTTTTAAGCTTATAAAATTATGCCCATTTCCTTGCATTGCACGTAGTTTGCCTATAAAATTTCAGTCAATTTAATTTCATTTACATATTTCTGTAGCTGCCACACACACTCTGACACGGAACGCGTTCCGACTTTGTTGTTTGTCTCTCACAAGGATGTGGCAAGTGTGAAGCGTGTGGCAAGGAATGTTGTAAAGGCAAAGGACACTGTCTATTCGCATGACTGAGTTGTGTCGATTTTCAGTTTGGTTTTGTCGAAATAAATACCCAAACCGAATATAGTAAAGGATAAAAGAGTTTATCTTATTTTCAATTTAATTTTTGACTATAAATAGTTGACTTAAATTGATTATATATATTATAAATATTTCTTTAAACATTATGAAATAATTTTTATACTTGAAATTTTAATACTTTTAATACTTTTCATTCCTTTTCTGCTTTTATTGCATTTTTTATATACATTAAGCACAACAATTCCATGAATTCAATTGAATTGTTTAACAAAATGAAAACGAAATGGAATTGCATAAATTTAATATAGTTTGCCAAGTTTGCTTTTTAACAGCAGCTCATGGTTAAAACATTTTGTTAAATTGCATTTAATATTTTCGGTTGCTCTAGAGAAAATTGTAGGTTCAAAATGTATTGTGAACGTTGAACTTCCGCGAGGTTAGGAATATTATTATATGATGGGAAATACTTTTAAAGGAAACAAATAGAATAGATAAATAATTCAAAGAAAAACTGAAAAAAACAAGATATATACTTTTTAAATAGATGATATATTTCTTGTTGACAAGACTATAATTGGTTAATATTTATTATATATGTGTTGGAGTTGGGTTGATTCTGATTCATTCCCAGTAGACTTGATTTTACCTTGTTTTATTGAAACACTCTCAGAAGGCAGTGAATCTCAATTTCCTCTTGTCTGTCACATGCCAACTGAAGCTCTTGTCTCTCATATTACCTCACGTTCGTTTTCTTTTGCTACGACACATGCTGCTGGCATTCGTCCAATCAAGCCTACGCTTGCTACTTAACATTTCTTCACATTAATGTTAAGCTAACATATAATGTTAAATAAATGTTAAGTAAACCTCGGACACATTTCCTCCAGAGCTAACTTCAAAGAAGAAATCTAAAGGCTCAGAATCTCGCTTTAAGCTTCGCAACGCCGCACAACCTGTAATTGATTGTGGCTTATCGCACGATACTAAATAGAAATCTGATCTCGGGAAAAAGTCAAATGTGACATCATGAAAATTCGTTGCAGGGACTTAGCGCAAATTACAGACATAAAAGTCGCACCCACAGATAATCGTAAAGTTTTACAGCAACCCACAAAAAAAGAATAAGAAAGCGGAACAAACAAGGCACAAATAAGACAAATAAAACCAAATAAAGATTATTTTCGATTTGTGGTTAGCACAGAGAGAGAAAGAGAGGGTCGTGCTTGGGCTATGCAGTCATGTATTTGCCGTTGATTAGAGTGAAGCAAATTGCAAGTGACATGTCCACAGTGGCATTGCATGAAAGAACATGAACATTTATGGGACAATCCTCTTAGATGAGCAGCTAAACAGTCGAAAGCTGCATTATATATTAACGAAAGAGACTCATTATTAACAGAAACAACAACGAATAACATCTTCTTGCTTGAACAGGCCTCAACGATTGCCAGTTGGCATTGCAAGCACTTCCTCTATGAAGCCAATAACAAGTCTTCTCAATGTTTGCCTGCTGTTGAGCAGCAACAGCATAAAAGTGAGCTTTAAGAGGCAACAATAACTAACTTTGAAACTAATATTTACGCTTTACTTTAAGATAGAAATCAAAGTAAAATTTGTGCATCAATTAGTATAAAAGAAGAGAGGCATTTTTGGGTTACATGAGCTAATATTAATTTTCAATTCCTACAAATAAAATTCATATAAATAAAATCAGTATATTATTAATTTATGAATTTATTTACACCTTCCTGATTGTAAAAATAATCGAATCACTTTATCTGATTTAAATTTACCTTTGAGATGTTGCCAACTCTCAGCGCGGTTTCCTCCGACAGCACTTCAAATGTTAATTTACCTTCAAGTGATAATTACTTAACAAGCTTCTATTTATTTGACACTCTCATGGCAGCAGCAGCTGCACCAACTCAAGATAAACTTCAACATATATGTATTTTGGGAAAAAAAGAAACTTTTTGTAGAATTATTTTGTTAGGCGCCGCCGGTTGTAGACTTCAAAAGTAAACTGCGCTCACTGTGTGCATAAAGAGCTGCTTCTGCTGTATAGGCATTCTGGTGCTGCAACTTGTGTGGTGGCCGTGCTGCCAGCTCTTTCCCATGCAACATCCTTTGGCACTGTTTTTTGTCAGGTGCACATTCCGTGAAAAATTTATCAACCTGCAGATGGAGCTGACAGCTGCAAGAAGAATTAAACTACTTTGCTCGCTTGCAACACACAAAACACGCACTCACAGCGCTTGTTTCATTAAATGAAAAGAGTATATTGAATTGGGTTTTTTTTTCCTGTAAGAGACTTGAAGCTTGGTAAGTTAACTCCAGTATATCTTCATCAGATGTCTATAGGAATACGACATGTAAGTAAATACTATAGCTTATATATACTCTTGTAGAGTAGTTCTACTTAAATATATTGTGGTTATATATTGATACGATCTTTGTTTTCTGTGCTACGCTTGGAATAAAGCAGAAAGAATTTTAGCCACGTCAGCTTTATAGCTGGCATAAACAAGTTTCCTGCTGACCTGATCCACACATAGACTTCCAGTTATTGTTACAGCTAATGTTACTACAACTCACTCGAAAAAAACTAAAAAAAGCTCGTTACAAAATTTACCAAAATGTATGTCAATCAAAATGATTTGAAGAGACTTGAAACCCCTCAATTATTCATTCTGTTGTCATATGTTTGGCAAGCTGTTCGATCTGGTCTATACACAAAAGTTCTTATTCTAGAAATGTTACTTGAGTTCACATACATACATTCAGACACACTTCTTCACATACTCCCACTCATAAAGCACTCACTCGCCGCACTTTTTCTGGCCTCTTTAAGACGCTGCCAACCGCGACGCATCCACAAAAAGTTGCCACACAAAAACAAACACTGCAAAAGCCGAAGACAGCCAGTGAAAAATGCGAAAAAGAACGCTGAAAGTATAAAAAACAAAGAAGGAGAAAGAAAATGAAAATGAAAAGAGCGAGAAAAGCAGAATTTCCACACGCAAAATGGTTCCACACTCCACTCTAGCCTAACAAAAGTAACTTATGCGCTTCGCCAACTTTGCAAGTTTGTTGCATATGAGAAGAGTTATGCGGCTGCCCGACACTAGATGGCGCCTGTGGGCACAAGGACAATGCCAGCAAAGCAAATTTATATAGAGAAAGGAGGGGAATGAAATGGAGGAAGGCAGCTCAAATCGGAAAAACAATTTTGTGCAAAAGGCAAAAACCGAAAATTGGAGCAGAATATAAAAAATACAAATTTGCCTAAATCGAAATCAAATTGCATTGAGTATTTCAGCAATTGCAGTTATTTTAATGAGATTATTTCATTTTATTTATTTAATTTAATTATTTTATTTATTTAATTTAATTTTTATTTTTTGGAAATTCCAAATTCCTAAATATTCTAAAATAAAACTGGTATAAGGCAGTGCTGACCAGACAAGCGACACCTCGGAACCCGCCAAGTGCCTCATTTTATGGCACACTCTATGCGGCAAGTGTAGCACACATTTGTTGACCAAACGAGTGCGTGCAATATTTCAATGGGCTGCTTGTGCAACTTGAACATGTCTGTCATACTTGAGTGCAACAAGTCCGCTAAAGTTGCTGCCACTGCGTTGCAAATATATTATAAATATTATAAAGACACCGAAGTTAAGCGAAACTTTAGAGATTCATGAATAAAAAAACATTAAAATTTTTTTGTTAAAATTGCAAAACATTAAAATTGACTGGAAACCTTCACAGTTCCAAGAAAACTTATCCGATATTCATGAGGAATATCTCTTCGAGTCAGGCTTAAAATGAAGATTGATTCTACATTCCAAGAGAAAATTAAAAACCCCTAAAATTTCTTATCAAAATCAAATTTTATTTCGAAAATTGTGAGAATAACCATTCGATTTTCAGACCTAAAATGTTGATATAATCAAAACCCAAATAACACTGGCCAACAAGGTTTAGTAAGCAGAAACTGAACTAAAATCTTCAATAAGATTTAGATGTGCTAATTCGCAATTAAAAGCGAAAAATAATTTAGGATTTATTTGTATTTTTTTGTTTAAATATTTTTCTCTGCCTCTACCTCTAAATCTATCTATAAAAACTTTCATTTTTCACTCGTCAACTTAGATATTCAGAGCGTCCAAAGCCCTCAAAAAAGCTTTAATTTATGAAATTTCATCAAATGTTTTGCTGGCCAGTGTAATCTAAGCGAACTTCCTGACAGCTAAATTTTCTCACAAATTTCGCAATATGAAACTTAAAATCGTTTCTTTTTCAGCCCCATAAATTTTTACAGTTCAATCGAATTTGTTGTTTACAGAGAAGCTGACGGTATCTTGTATGCTAAAAATAAATAAATGTAGATGTATGCGTATGTATGTATATCGCATAACGGGTGAACACGTGCCGGACCAGCAGCCATGGATGAATAAATGTCAAACATTTTGCTACGCATCATTGCGACTTTCCGCCCAATTTTCCGGACATGAGAGTGTTTACGTGTGGTGTACGCACGAGTTCCGTTTTTAATCAAGTGGACAGGCAATTTATGTGCGCCTGTTTGCACATTTAACCAAGGACTCTGTGCAACAGATAGAAGGCAGTTGCAAAACAATTCAAATTCAATTCAGAGCCAACAAAATGTCGAAAATATTGGAAAACGTTAGAGTAGCTACTAAAGATTACATAAGTTTATATAATATATGTTTGTATATAGGTATATATTATCTATGATTCAAAATAATAAAGAAGTTTTTATGTTATATAAATAATTTGTATAGATAGCTTTGCCATATTTCAAGTCAAATACAAAATCTTTTCTTGTTTAGTTTGTAGTTAACGTTTGTTTATTAAATACACATATTCGAACACGCAATATGTATTACACACATATATAATTGCGTATTTCTGGACAAATAGGCATTAATACACACAGACTACATAAACTGCTTGGCATACAATGCATACAAATATAATACAGACAATTATGTTTGCTTTCGGTATACAACATATTTCATTGATATTTTGATTTTAAAAACACATCGAAAATATTACACGTACAAAAAACTGTTATTTTTCTTTTTCTCTTTAGATATTTTCTGTTTAAATATTTGAATATGCTTCATCGTCAATAGTATACGTACATTCAGATGTATATATTTATATTTATATTTATATTTATATATATTTTATAAAAAAGGGATTGTAAATCATATACACATATAAAAATCTACAATAAGGCAATTTGCTTATGGGTTTCGGCAAGGGACATACAATTTATTAGCTTTACTTATTATGCTCGTTTCTGTTTCTTTCGTGCTTCTTATGTTTCTTTCGTGTCGTTTACATGAATCGTAGATAATTAACATTTAAAGCTTTTTAAATTAGAATTCTCTTACAAATAAGTACATGGAATGTGCGTTACTAACTATAATATAAACAATTAGTTCGAGTACAAACTAAAACATTTCGCTTTTCCATCGTTTGTTAATAATGTTGCATAAAATTCGTTTCAAAATCAAACAACTTAACGTAATGCAATACATTCAATGCTCTGTTTTAAATGCACTTTTTTTCTAAAGTTTACATCGTCTATAAATGTCCGTCGTTTACACCAAATATGATAATGGTTTTATATGCATTGTGTTTTACTTTGTATAAGACTTAGTTCGACAGCAACATGAAATTTTGGCAAAAATAAAAAGCATTTATAGTTCTGCGGCATCAATAATTTTGACAGGAGTGTACACAATCTATCTGTCTACGGCGCCACTTTGCTTCCACCCGCATGCATCATGACCAAGGAGCCAACCATTGCAACCAGCGTGCGATCCAGCCAAGTAACTGGATTTGGATATAGGAAGCCGCCCTCATAGAATCCAAGATGGCCACCATGTGCTACCTCCACATATGCTGATTTTTGGCGAGTGGCTGTAAGGTAACAATAATAAAAATAATTAAAATATGCATATTACATTTTAAAAAAATTATTTCAATAAAATATATTTAAATTTATAAAATAAAACAATTAAAAAAGATTTTACACTCATCGCAGCCGGTAGGATTCGAACCTACGCTCCCAGAGGGAATCTGATTTCTAGTCAGACGCCTTAACCGCTCGGCCACGGCTGCTTCTGGTCTAAGCGGTGCTATGTGCCCATTTCTATAACTGTTAAAGCGTCTATGCTGTCTTAACATTTTCATAAAATAACGTATGTTACGATAACAGCAAAACAACATAACATTACGATAATAAATTATGTAAGTTAACATGAAATTTAACCTCAAATTGGAGCAAAGTAAAATAGATTTTTACAGAAAATAAAAATTTGGTGGTAAATTTAATTGCACTTACTTGCATACTCCTTTATCGGGTGCAATAAATCTACCGGCACCAGGGGATCATCTTTGGCATTTATATAAATCATTGGCTTCTCAATAGTGTCGAAGTAGAAAAGCGAAGAGCTCCACTTGTAAAGCTCCTGTGTCGATGCAAAATTATACACACGTCGCGTATAAGCCTCATCCAGTTCCGGCAGTGTTGCCGCCGCTATGATTTCTCGCTCGTTAAGATTATGACGTGCCTTCACCTCATCGGACAGCAACACATGACGATGACGCAAAATTATGCTCTTCACATTCTCAGTCATGATATACAGATAGAAACGACGGAAGTTCTGCCAGTTCAGCAGCCATTTGGTTCCCCTAAAAAACATCAAAAATTAAATAAGTAAAAGTTTTAAAAAACATCAAGCGAAAATAGGATGCTTACTCGACGGCATTGTAACCCTGGCATATGGAAATGCCACCAATAACACTATTCGGTTTTTCCTTCTGCATTTCACCCATGTACTTGGTGACCAGATTTCCGCCCAAGCTGAATCCAACGGCAACAATGCGGCAGTGCTGATACTTCTGATGTAAATGATCTACCATGGCAGCAAAATCCTCTGTGTGGCCATAGGTAAAGATGCGTGTCGAGGTAACCTGTACGGTGCGAAGGGCGCCAATGTGATTCATAACTGCACAGCGATAACCGTTACACTGCGCCAGGTGCACAAAGGTTCGTATATAAACCGATTCCGAACTATTCGCTATTCCCGGACAAATAGCCACTGTGATATCATCTGAAAAGAGAGGGAGAGAGAGAGTTAAAGTTTCCAACAGCAGCTAAAAGCTTCACTACTTACCTTCCTGTTCCTTTAGTGGCTGATACAAATCGTAAGTTAAGGTGGAGCCATCCGGGAGTGAAAGGTAGACGCGCTCACCCAGAGGCCACGGGCAACGTACACGACCGACAATGCTGTGCAGCACGGTCTGAACATGACCGCTGAATCCCCATAGACGTGGTGGAATATAGCTGAACAAATTATATAGATTTCGAATTAATAAATAAATAATAGTAAAATATAAACAGCTGTCAAAAAAGTTAATTCATTACAAATAAAATTAAAGTTATGCTAACCTAACAGTAACAACTGTTGCATTTTAACAGCAGTAACAATGTTAAGAGCAACACTGTCCAAACAGCTGTTTGTGAGCACATAAAACTCATTGGTAGTTCTCCAGTGAACACAAGCATCGGTGGTTCAGTGGTAGAATGCTCGCCTGCCACGCGGGCGGCCCGGGTTCGATTCCCGGCCGATGCAAATTACTTTTTTTTATTAAATTTATTTAATTTTTTTTTAAATCGTTCAATAATAGGTTGACAGTCATCGGATGGCTGTTTGCCAAAAATTAAATGACAAATGGAATATTTAATGCAATAAAAGACTGCATCATTGTTGCAGAAACACCAATGCCAAAATGTGGCAAACTAGCGAACAAAGCAGCTGTTAGAATTAATTGAACTCAATTGAGCTTCAAAATCAGCGCCATTGCTGTCAGGCGTTCAAAAACGTGCACACAACTGCTGTGTGTCACTCTGTCTTGTTGTCGTCAATTGTCCGCTTCTAAACGTTTTCCCCTTTCAATTACTATCAATCAACAAAAAAAACTGTTCTAGCGTTTAGTATTGGGCAAGGGAATATTCACAAATTTGGTGGTAATTTAGTGTGTACTTGTGCAGATGGGAATTGTTAATCTATACATTTTATATTAACAATGCGTGTAGTATAATTAGCTAATCAATGACCATTATTTATTAAAGTATTTCAATGGGAACTGGCTTGGGTAAATTAAAACGTTGAGCTATATAAAACAGCTGCAAAAATTCCCAGTCAACTCAAATTTAACAATCTTGTGCAAAATACTACAAAAGCAAGCGAATGACAATAGCAACAATATACATATACATACGTATATATGTATGTAGTCGTAGATAAATAGCTATATTTAGATACATGCATAAATGCATGTGTGTGTTTATGCATATGACTCATTCATAAAGTTTGCACCCCTTTTTCAAGTAACCACAGAAAACACACAGAATGAGCGTTCAAAACAAAAACAAAAGCTATCTTCTGCGCGTGTGGAAGCAGTATTAGACGCAGAGAGGAACCAGAAGAGAGTGAGTGATAGAGAAGGCGAATGCAAGTGCCGTTGAGGATAATGATAAGTAGTTGAGCGTTCGTTCAATATGCTTACGTAATCTTTGTTGTCAAACAAAAGTGGACGACCGACTGGGCAGTGCGCCAAAAACAAATCACAAACAGGTAGCCAAACAATACCGCCAGCCGGCAGCAAGCGGCACTTTAATAGGCGAAAAGAGAGTGGAAAGCTTTTGCCGGTTTAATTGATACCCCGTAACTAGGTAGGGGGTATATAATTATAACATAAATATATTGTCATCAGCTGACATACACAGCAGTGTATGAATACATCTATACATCAGCAAATGTGTATTTAACCTATTCTTCTATACTTAGTTTTTATGTTTCTTAATAGACACTGTCAGCTGTTAATATTTAGCGAAACTAGCTACAGGGCATTAGCTAGCATATCAATAATTTTAATATTACTTGCTTTATTTTCTTCTTTTATCTATATGTATGTACGGGTATATGTAGGCACTTATACACATATGATTATTTGTGTGTATTCCTTTTATTCCCGACTATCCCACGCGCCGAAACTTGAAAACCCAATGGAAACCGCCAGCCGAAGACGTTGCTGGGCGTTATTCGCTTCGTTTTAAACGAACTGCGTAATTATGTTTTAATCTTTGTACCGTTCGCTTATCACCGTTTGACCGAAGGCAGACAGAATATAAAAGTGAAGACAGCTGAATATGGTCAAATCTGAACCAAAATCCGCATTAAATACATACACATACATATGTATGTGCGTATGCATGTGTGTATTTGGATTTTGGCTCAACATTTTCAAGGCGCGTCACAGTTGATAAAAAAATGTTAGTACACTGTAAATAACATTTCTAATGCTAAAGGAGAATCATCTTTAATGTTGTTGAATAAATTTATACCTTATATTAGATTGTTTTAGTAAGAATATTCATATTTTCTATGGCTTTACGTCCACTCAACACTCAATTTGTCACCAAACCACAAAAAGTGAGTATTAATACACGTGCAATACTGTAAATACGTATATATATGGAATATATAACTATTGCTGATTACTAGTTATGAATACGATAACAAAATGTTCAATAAGAATTGCGAAAATTATAAAATAGTCTATTGAACTTCTACGGTTCTAAATCTAAATTTAATAACAATGATGCGAGCCACCGAGATTAATTAATTATTATTGCATATTTGATAATCACAATCACAAAAAATAAAAAAAAAGGCTGATTCATACGCCGGGCCAGCTGCGTTCGATTACTTGAACTTTGGGCATGCGACGCGGCAAATATATATATAAATCTACACATATACAATTAGTTTTCGCTTGCAAATTATTTAAAATGCTGCAATTATGCAATGCCAATTGGAAGCGGAAAGTGAATGACACCTGCTGGTAACTGAACACCAATGTTAAAGAGATAAACTTATTTCTCAACTTAATTGAATATTTCAGAGAATTTAATGCAAGATTAAAAGAAGACGGAATAGAATAACCATATTCACTAATATTTTTAATTTTAACTATAAATACTTAATACCGGCATTTACCATAAGAACAAATAAAAGTTGGCTGAATTTCAACAAGTAATGAAAATTGTGTTCAATTAGAATCGAGTTTCACATATAAAGTAAACAAAAAACTATATTAAATATTAAGAAAATAAAAGTTTTCGCTGAGTAAAACTAAAAATGTGTCTTTTTGCTCCTATCCAATCTGGAATTTGTATATCCAGCCAACGTCATTTGATTGAGTGATGTAAGCTAACATTTTAGCATGACTGTAACATAGATGCCACATGCAATTATCAGCTGAGCAGTGGCGAGAGGCTCACAACACGCATACTTACAGCATACACATATGTATGTATGTGTTTTGTATGAGGCAAAACAGAAAAGAAATTGCATGGGGTCTGCATACCGATATTGACATGGGAATACTTTTTTCACTCACTGTTTGTTTGTTATTTGCTAAAATGTATATTTTGTATTGCTCTCATACTTACGGTTCACGCAGCACCGGCGCAATTTTGTACAAACAATCGAGAAACTGCTCGTCGAGGCACCAAACACTCGGCCTCAAGGGCTGACTATGGACATTGAGGATGCGGAATAGAATGCACACGATCACGGCGACAAGCGTTAAAAAGGCGGTAGACATCTTGCTTCTTTTTTTTTCTTTTCGTTTTGTTGCTCCGCACCTGTGGGTGTCGCTGGCAACCTCAAGGATGTTGTAGCGTCCTTAAACCTTGCAGTTGCAGTTGTTGCTGCTGTGGTTGATACTCAACTAGTTACTGCACCCGGACTGTTTCAATTTTCTGGTTTTCCTAATTAGAAGTGCGGCATATAATTTACTTTGAAAAATATGATTTTATTCAATTGTGTTGTACACAAAATGCTTACTATGTTTTTTAACAGCTGGTTGGGCGGGCTGCAACTGTAAAATATTTGCGTTTAAGCACACACACACACACAAACGCTGGCACTCGCAATGCGGCAATGCCGCTAAATAACAAAACACCCGATGCTGGTCACAATCGTTGAAACGAACTGCACTTGTAAATCATGTATCTATTTACACTGTTTTCAACCTATACAACAAAATTTTTATTGATGTCAGCTTCACAGTAATGTCCACACGGCTGTCCTCAAACGTCTGGCATTGTTATTAACCAACTAATGTATACATGCATACATGTTCTCTTTTACTCAAAATGGCACTGCTATACTTTTGTCATTTTTTAGTGTATTTTGTACGCACAACGAATACGAGAAAAGTTTAAAATTTAACTTCGTCTGTGATTTTCCTAGAAGAAAATATATTCGTTACAACAACCAGAAATATTATTCAGTAAGTCCTCAGGAAAAAGACTAAAAAATATATTATTTATTTTTAAAAATTTACAAAAGTTCAGTCGTTGAATGCAACGCTTTAAATTGTTATCATTGGCAGGTTAATTCCACTCTCAATTTAAATAATGATCTTTAATCTCAATATTAATTTCAAAAAGTTCTTAAAATTACCAACCAAGAGTCAAGTGACACTGTTCGATTTGTAAAAGATATGATTATTTTTGCTGATTTCACAAGGCTTCGTAAAGAGTTCACATAAATTGAAATTAGGAAAAATATTGAACATAAACATAAAAAGAATTAGAGTGCTGCTAAATGACAAAATCAAACAATTTGATGTTCATTGTTTTAGTACTCCAAATGAAAAAGAGTATCAAGCACTTTTAGTCAAACTAAATGATTCAATACATTCATTATCTATGTGCAGTAAATGTCGTCAATCAGCATTCATTAAATAAACCTTAAATTTATTTTCAAATAGCAGTTGAAACAGCGAAAACGATAATCTCAGGTCCATGCAAATGTCAGCTATCGATAATAGTTCGTGGATACTTTAGGCGATACATCGATATTCGTATTCTCTGAACACAGAACACGTATGTGTAGATATGTGCGTGCGCCAAAAGGGGCAATGAAAAACTAAAGTTCAAGCTATGTTGCTTCTCAGCAGCACAATTACACCATTTGTTGCTTAACATACGTAAGTTAGTGGAAAATTAAATACTAAGGAAAGCATATCAGGTCTCCGATCTATTTGCAGGTTATGTGTGGGCACCGCTGCAGCAACAACACGGCAACAAAGCAAGCAACAGGAGCACCGTTGCCCGGCACCTCAACAACACGACTTAAGTATAAATTTAAATTAACAGTTACCATTCCAAGCACACCAAAATGATGATGCAAATTGTGTGCCTATTACTTGGCCGACTCCTGCTAATCTGCATTGCCGTCAACGATCTGCTGCAACAGCTCTGGCTGCGATTGCATGCGTTTGCTAGCAGGTCATATGACTACTGGCAATGTGATCAACGGGCGTTTCTGGGTGCCGCTGTGCGCGGCCTAGAAAAGTTGCCACAACACCTGGTGTTGGTTATCGGACCGGACGACTGTTATGTGAATGCAGCACTGCTGAAACGCATTTTCAGCTACACTCACATTGTTGGCATACCCTATTTAAGTGTGTATGACACGCGGACACCTGGTAAGGGCTACGTAGATCTGTCACTTTTCTGTCAGCAAAATGAAAAGGGCGATATGTTCTACCATTGGCCGTCCCAACAAGTAAAAGAACAAAAACCCCCACAGAATGGCTATAAAACTGTTCCAAACGGCACTTCCAATGGCTACGCCAATAAAGGTGCGCATTATACCCCGCTACAGGTGAGTTATTGTTTGAGCAACTGATAAGGACGTGTCGTGGCATAGCTTGCATGCAACCTTAGCTGCTTTCGATATTAATAGTTATCTGAGCCATTCATTCATTTTTTATAAAGATTACTTCACTTTTGTCTAGTATTTCCACGAAAACGATTAATCAGTTCAGTGAATTTTGGAGCTTCTCTATTTCTTATCTTTGAAATTGTGTATTGCAGGTCTGTCAAATCAGTAGAGCTGATGGCCATGCGCTAATTGCCGATGTCTGCCGCGAGCTGTACGAAAACCGCCAAACCGCCCAGGTGCAAGCGATGCTGGAGGAGCGCCAAGCGCTAACCGATGGCATTAGTGCCATATTGAATAAGCGGCTGGGACTCGCAGTGCCGGAGCCAGAGCTGGGCATTGTGTTCTCCAGGCAGACGTGCACATACGGCTTGCTGCCGTGGCATGTGCGCTTCACCGAGTTCCATACGCATCGCAGCGGTAGCTACTTTGATGCCAAGTCATTTGCCAATGTGCTTTACAAGTATGCGCGCTGCGAGCAGCGTTGGGGCAAATAATGTTGGCTCTTATGTCCTAAATTAGTTACTTTACTTTAGAATATTATATGTATATTAGTTTAAGTTATTGCCTGCAAGTTGTAAAAACATCCGCTACAAAGTTAAGCAAAAAGTGAAACGTCACACAAACATATATATATATATATCTATATATATATATATACATGGATATTTGCAATTGTTTGTTATTCATAAACGAAATGTATTTGCAGAGATTTACACATGAAGCATGTTAATTTGAGTTTTGCATAAATATTTTATGTATTTTAATTGTAAGTTCGTTTACTTAGAGGCTAGTGTTAGGCTTTTATTGTATATGTATTTGGTTGCCTGGCTGCAGGCGTTCTCGGCTCTACTGCCGCTCGGACTGAGCGTGTCGCTTGGACAGGAGATTCACATCGGTCAGATACTTGTTCTTCTCGATGTTCTGCGGGTCGGAGCTGTTGGGCATGCGCTCGTGTATCAACTGAAACGAATTGCGCAAATCCATCAGCGAGTCAGCCAGACCTTTCTTGATGTTGGCAAATTCACTGGACATCAGCGACAGTTTGCCCAACAAATAGTTCAAGTTGTCATCCATGTCGATCATGTGCTTTTTAGTCTCCTCCACTTTGCTGCTCAGACCCATCATGGTGCTAAACGTGCTGTTCACATAGCCATCGTGCCCAGCTTGCATCAGGCCCAACATCTCTCTGCTTTGGCCGATTTCGGTGCTCATGATCTCGATGCGGTGCCACACCTGGGACAGAGCTGTATCCAGCAGTCCGCTAATATTGCGATTGGCCTCCTCCTGCGTGTCTACCAGCGTATCGTTCAGCTCGTTGAAGCGTGCCTTTACCAAGCTTGTCAACTCGGCCACCTGCTGCTCCAGCAGCAGGCTCACCTTCTGCACAATTTGCAGCGTGCCGAACTCGACCTTGCGCTGCGTGTCCAGGACCACCTCCGAGTTGGTCATCATGATATTGTTAAACTTGCCCAGCGCATCGAAGCCATCGTTCAATTTGCTATGACTGGCATTGATGCCCTTGTAGAGTTGGTTGAGCAGGACTAAGTCACTCGACACTTGCTTCAGATCGCCCTGTATGTTCGCCTCCGTTTGTTGCATTTGCTCCGTGGTCTGACGCAGTGCTGAATATGGCAGACGGGAAAGAAACAAGAGAAATATATATGTTTTGTAAAGCAGTTCTATATATTATAAAGCTAGGGAATCTTGCCACTCACCTGTTTGCTGACCCAACAGTGATTCGGTCTTGAGTGCCGCCAGGGCATTGAGCGTCTCATTGTTGAGCTCCTGCATATAGACGCGATCCTTCTCGTTGAGACCCAGCGAAGCAGGTGGCGCCTGCGCTGTGGCATTGCGCAGCTCCGCCACTTGGCTGCTCAACTGACCCAGACGTTCTACAAGCTTCCGCTCAAGCTCATCATTCTTGGGCGGAGCAACTGTGGTAACGGCTGCTGCGGCGCTGTGCTGCTGTAGCTTGGTCTCGATTTGGCTTAGCAGCTCATCGGACTTGGGCATGCGCTCGAAACCCTGTTGGGTTTGTTGGGCGGCCTGTTTGCTGCTGTCCACCAGCTGGGCGACACTCGAAGTCAGTTGCTTGAGCTCGCTGAGCAGCTGCTTATTGATTTGCTGCTGTTCCTTCACAAATTCATTGGGTATGGCGGAGGCAGAGGCGGCTGCAACTGGTGGAGCAATTGCCTTGGGTGCACCTGGTGGATTCTTAAAGCATTCGTCGTTCTCTCGCATCCATTTGAACATATGTTCCATGGCCCGATTGAGCTTGTCCGTTTCAGTATTATACTTCTCCTCTTGCTACACAATGAGAAGCATTTATGTAGCTGTGGGCTATAGGGATTTGGGAATTTGTTTGCTCACCGTGATCAACATGGTCTCAATCTGACTGACACGCTCGTCCAGTCGTCCAAATATTCCGCTCATCGGCTCCAGGCTCCGCTGACCCTTTTGCAGTGCCTGCATTGCCTTCTTCATCAGCTCGCCCAGTGCGCGCTCCCGATGCTCATGTCGCTCCAGCTTGTTATCCAGCTGATTATACGAATAGATCAGAGATTTTAAGGTTCCACTAATGTCTTCATTGCTGAAACGAGAACTCAACAAGTTATTCGAATATATATATATTGATTATTCATTTGAAAACTATTAACGGATGGGAATGCTGCGAGAAGTTCATTATCAATATTTATCAGATAATAGGAGGTATTAAAAGCTATTTGTAGTCATTTAATAAAAAATATATTTTATGATCGAAAATTATTTGAAAATATTTAAAGTATATATATAATTTATATATAAAAGAAAAAAAAAATATTTTTAAAATTAAAATCGATTTTTTTTTTAATAAATATCTTAAAGTTTAATATCAAATTAAAAAACAAGATAAATATTTTCTATAAATCATATCAGAATATTCATTTTTGCAATTCAGTTTTATTTAAGCAAATAATAAAGAAAAACTGAATTTTAAATATATTTTTACTAAAAAAAAATAAATTTTTAAATTTAATTTTTAAAATGCTAGAAAAAATATTACAAATTCTTTTTTTTGTAAACTTTTTGAATATTTCATCAGAATGAATTTAAAAAAAAAAAAAAAACAAAAAATTTTTTGAATCATTAAATTTTCATATTATTTGACAATTTCTTTTAATGCATTACGAATGTAAGCTGAGACGCAGAAAATTCTTGTGTCAATCATGAGGAAAACTGAGGCCGCTTTTATGGCGCAGTCTTCGACAGCTGTAAATGATCATGGGACTGGGACTGGGACTGAGACTGGGCCTGGCTACATCTGCACTTATCGTAAATGACTTCTAAAGATCGAGATCAATTCTCATAAACACACACGGCCCACCCTGCCTGCTAATAATCTTCAACTCGGCGCTGTCTCAGGGTCAGAAACCCTTTTAGATGCGTTGCACACTGTGTGTGTCTGTGTGTGTGAAATGCATTTATGCTGATAGATATGCAGAGCAGCAAGAGTTCCAAGTGCCATGAGCCCCGATAGACAACATATGTGCAGCAAGTTTCCCAGCCGCTGGCCCTTCCCATTACGCTTTCCCATCCCATTCCGCAGGGCATTTGCATGAAGTGTGGGCCAAAAATAAATAAACAAACAGCCGGAACAGACAGGCCTGTTTCTTTGACGGCAATAGTCATTAGTTTTGGGGGACTGTGCTCTGGCTGCTGCGCGCCGAAGGCGTTGCCCTATGCCCAAGCATATGGCACGCGAGGCTGGGTATCTGGCATTATGCATTGGGTGTTCTGTTTACATCCGAGAACTGTGAACGTCCTGGCGCCGTACTTGATATCTACCACATTTCGCAAAGAAACATTTCAATCTCAATCTTCTGCTGCATTATATTTCACGTTTCGTTTCGAGAATCTTAGGCAAACTGAGCGCGCGAGTGTTTGACATGTGTCAAACGGATTTCAGTTTCTTTAAATTGAGATGGAAAAGTTGGAAAACATATTCCGAAATGTTGCAATATCAATTAGTTTTTTTGAGAGATATATGTGCATTACTAAAGGTATTTTCGGTTCTTTTTTTTCAAAATTTTAACAATTTCTAAAAAGGAACTGGTAAAAATAATAAAATTGGTAAAAGGTAATAAAAAGAAAATGCTTGTAAAAATTAAAATTAAAATTTCTTTTAAATATAATTTATTCGATTCTTTGATTTAATTGATTATTAAAAATTTATATAAATATTTGTTTGTATATAGAAATATATTAATTAATTAAATTAATTAAATTGTTTAATTTCTTCAACATATTTTTGAAAATGAACGTTTTTGAAAATTAATGCATTTTAGAAAAAATGTATTTAATACGTAACATTTAATAATAAAACTCAATTAAAAATGTTAAGAAAAAAATCCGCATCCGCAATTGGAAAACTATTGAAATTGAAGTTTTAATGAAAAAAATATATGTAAATATTTATTTAATATTTAATAGCATATTTAATATATTAACACATTTTTATTTCTTTATTTATTTTTATTCAAATTATTTGGTTTTTAATTTCCAGAACTTAACGCATTTTTAAATGCTAAAATTTTTTATTAGGTAATAAAATATGAGAAAAATAATAAAAAAAAACCTCAAATTGGAAAATTTTTGAAATTTAAATTTCAAAAATGTTTTCATATTCAACATATTTTTAAAGTCTTTTGTTTGAAGTCTATATAAAAGAAGATAATATTCTTATAAAGCTCATATATGTATATATACACCATATATGTATACAGACATGATCTTGTGCTAATTAAAGTAACTTTGGAGATTCTGTACTTACGTGACGGGTGATGCTGAGGCATGCAACGGCCACAGGCTGAGACCAATTAGAGCTAGAAATACTAAAGCAATTGATGGATGCTGTGCTGTTGCCATTTTTCGATCTCCAATTAGCTGCAGCTATGCAAATCCAAATTGGGTTGAAGTGCGTGATCTGTACAAATTAAAAAGAAAAAGAGGATATATATATATAGATATAGTGAATTGTAGATTGAAATAAATTTGTAGTTCGTATGAAAATGCATCAAGAAAATATTCGTAGATTGTAAATTTTAGCAGCTATAAAAATTGGCATATTTATTATGAGACGGCAAATTGTTTAAACAATACAGAATGCAGCGGCATTTAATTCCTTGTTGCGATGTCTATTTGAATCGCATTGTTTATATTAATATCTGGAACTCTGTATATAGAACGCCATAAAATTTGCCAATCATATGACGCAGATCTTTCAGTTTTCCGTTGATTGCATTTCGTGGATGGTAGTAAAATGCAAGCAGGAAATTGGGTCAGAAATATGTAAGTGAAATGATTAAATGAGCACGATCTGGACATTTTATAAATATATAAATACACACATTGTAATTAAATATATGTATAAACACATCAATTTGTTTAAGTCTTTGCCTTAAAATAAAATAAAACAAAATCATATGTCCTTATCGCATGAATGAATTGGGTTAAAGGTTGATAAATTGTGAATGCTAAGATAGAACACTTCAGTCTATATTATAGAATCGAGTACATGTGTTATTGAATTAGAAATGTATTAAATATATATATATATATAAGAAATAATAATAAATAAAAGACGCTTTTAAATACACACTTGTATCAACTGGAGAGTCGAGATGAGATTGTTATAGAGTAGCTAAGCAGCTCTCTAAGAGTCAAACACTGATTTGGTCTCACTGCACTGGCAACTTAACTAGAAACGAGCACTATCAATTTTTACTATTTGCTGGAGCTGACAACGTCCTCACTGCACGAGCAGCGCACACTGAATGAGTATAAGATGCTGGCGCCTGACACATAGAGTTCTGTCTGATAATTTTGATGCTGGTTGGGGTTGGAGAGGGGGTGCGAGTGTCGATCGTGCTCAGATGTTTCTAATTAAATGTAATTAAGAGAGCGCACTGACAGCAAAGAGCATAAAGTTTATAGCTTCCCGCATCCTAAGTCTGTCAGCACACCATAGGAAGTGCAATTGAATCAAAATTCAATTTGTTTTAATACAAAACTATTCAATGCATATCAATCATAAGGCTGATTAATTTGCTGCAGCGGCAAAGCTCAAGCCAATCAAATTCTAATAAATATGCATTTAAAATATTTGTATGACTGCTCCCTTAAGAAGTGCAATTCTGCAAATTTTTTATTGCCTTAACGACAGTTTAATTGATATTTGAATTTGGCGCCATTCTGTAAATGCAAATCACTCCGCAAGTGAATATCATTCTATTCGACGTATCATCGATAGTTTATGCTCTGCACTTTGAAATCGGTTCGATGTTTAGTGATAGTGAAGCTATCGATTGTCGATTATTCCTAATATCAGCTGTTGCCGGCTTTTGTTTATATTGCCACACTTATTTATAACTGTTAAAGTTGGATATAATGCCAACAATAATTGCTTTGGATGCGTCGCTATCGATGCTACGTCCTGTGCCAGGGCGCAACGACCACACGTACCAATCGCTAGCCCTGAAGGGCATTCAACATCTGCTGGACAATCTGACCGCTTCTGGAAAACTCGAACACGTAGCCTTGGTGTTGTACACCACAGTTTGTGAGCTAAAAGTAGATTTTACGCGCGACTACGATCAGATCCGGCAAGCGATCAAGAAAATTGATCCCCTGGACAAGGCTTGTCTGCTTACCATGCTCAAGACTTCCGTCAGTCTAATGGCCACATGGGGCACACAGAATCTTCTGCAGTTGGTGGTGTTTACGGACTGCGGTCCGGGCTTTGGCAGCACATCGATTAGCAATTTTTTGGAGGGATATGCGGGCAAAGAAGCCGAGCCCGAATACGCTTGGCTCAAAATACTGGCCACCTACAATCTGAACTTTATCTGCCTGGGTGTCCATGCCGATTTATATTTTACGCGGGGCGTGGCGCTGCATCAACAGTTGCTGGACGCAGCCGCACTGAAAGGTCAGCTGTTCATGACAAAACCGGTGAAAAACGTTGAGACAGGAGACTCTACACCTGGATGCAGCCATAAAAGCGAGCTGGGTCGCACCGCCCTTTTTGAGCTAATCGAGCGTCTGTGCGACTGCAGCTATAAATCAACTGAGGTAACGCTTAAATGCGGCCTCTACTTCCGCATGGAGGGCCAAGTGCTGCTCTGGCCGCCACCGATGCCATATGAGCAGAGCGCACTCTATGTCGGAGATCCCACAATTCGGCACATCGATCAACGCATTGATGTCTGCGGTTTCCTGGCGCTGTCAGATATCGGCTCACCGGCCACGCTGAGTCGACACTGGGTGATGCCCAAAGTGGAGCGCGAGAAGCCGACTCGGCGCTCTGGTGGATTGGCAGCAGTTGTCAAGCCTCCCAAGCTAACGCTGGACACCAGCAATCCTCATTATGAGCTTGAGAAACTTGAGCAGGATATACGCGACTTCTACATGAAGGATACCAAGGAGGCCGAGGAGAGCGGCGATGATGCTGACGTGAGTGTGATGCTCAAACACCCCACTACGCCCCAAGCGGAGCAACAAAAGGACAATCTGTGTGTGCTGCTCCATGGCGCCCTCAAGCTCGAGAATATGGCCGCGCTGGTGCTGCTGGGCGAGAAGTGGTACGGCTTCATGTATGCCTACACCGATCTTAAGAAGAAATCCAACTTTATGCTGAATATATTGCCACCGGGCTCCCATGTTATACCCTGGCTGGGTGACCTGGAGCTCCTCGGTTTTTCCACGGATTTGGCGCCTGGCGAAACAGCCAGCTTCCCGGTTCGCGCGGAACGTCGTTCATATTCGCAAAGCAGCGTCGTTTGGATACGACAGGCCAGCCTGCAGTCCGACGTACAGAAGGTGTTGCGGCATGCCAAGAAAATGCCCGATAAGACGCAACATTTCTATAAGGAACTCAATCGCATTCGGCGCGCTGCTCTGGCCCTTGGTTTTGTAGAGCTCCTTGAGGCATTGGCGCTGCTCCTGGAAAAGGAAACCACACAGCTCACATTGAATGGCGTCAGCACCGAGTGCACTTTGCAGCTGCAACATGCGGCCACAGAGCTGCGAAAGACATCAAATCGTGACATCAAATCGACAATTGTGCCGTTACAGAAGGCAACGGCTGCTGATACCACAACGGCTCCAGCGCCCGCACAAGGCGGTTATTTGTACTAGAAGTTAGGTTAAAACTTTTAATATTAAATATACATTTATTAAAAATATAAATTTGGTTCCTCTTTCAAGTAACGGCTTCGTACTATCGTGGCAATGTACTGTTTGTTATCGACCTATCGATAAGCTACAGTTTATTTGCGCTTTGTTACTGTGAATGAGTTCATGTAAAATGGTTGTGCTCTTTATCATTGCACAGCACTAGCCGTGGCCAATGCATCAATCGTTATCGACTTATCGCATATTGTTTATTTTTCTTCGTTAGCAGCAACAATGGGCGGCCCTGAATTACCTACAGATCCCGGTGAGGAGCATACTTTTCAAGCGCCTGCAATTGAGCACCCACATATTGGCGAACAGAGCGATGACAGTGCCGAGTCGGACGCGTATGATGGTTACCAGCCGCTTGCAACCGACGCTGACGAAGCAGGCGCAATGGTTACTGATATCAATATCAGAGAGCCGACTGCACCTGAGACACCTGATGAGGACATCGACTTGATGACAGCGGAGGTGACACACGGCGATCCAAATATGCCACCCATTGAAAGTGCAGATGCGGAAATTGAGCGGCAAGTATGGAACGAGCCACGACCGCAGGAGCTCCAGATGGAACTGGACAAAACGCGCACAGAGCAGGTAATTGAAAGCACTAAGGGAGAAGTATAAGAACTTTAACAATGTTTTACCATAGATACTCAAAGCTATGTCCAAGATAACATTGCCCAATATAACAGTGCCTGACTGGGCCAAAGGCGTGCCTGAAGAGCGGTGGAAGCACGAGTTGCTGGAGCGTATTCAGACTCGTAGAGCAGCGCCTGCAACGGAAACTGCTGCTGGACAGCTGCCCAAGCCCTCAGCCGATTAATACATTCCTATATTTATGTATATAAGCTAAGCATAATGTATTTATTAAATTTGACTCCCGCATATATAAAAATTTAAAAATAAATGCGCGCAACGATCCAGATCTTAGAATACGGCAAGAAGCGCCTGTCCCACTAGGTTGACCTTGGCGAAGTTCTCATCTTGTGGTGTGTTTGTCAGCTCACGCAACTTATCCATCACAAAGTCGACGGAGACAACTTGGGCAATGATCTCCTGGCTGCAGGGCGTGGTAGTTAGATTACCAATGGCCTGCATAGAACGATACCAGGCCTCCAGATCCTTAGCCCACTTGAGCAGCTCCAGAATGCCCGAGGTGGCCACATGGCACACCTCCGACTCGGCCACGCTCAATGTCTGGGATATGGTCAGATTCAAGTAGAACGTGGCGATCGCTATTTGCAAATTGGCGCTGCCCGCGCGGATGCAGCTAACCAGTTCAACAACATGAGGCAGTTGTGTCTCGATCTGCTGGCGACCAGCTCGGTGGGTCAGGGCGTTGGCCAGGCAGCGACAAACCATTAGTTGATTGGCCGCCGCACCGCCCAGCTGTGGGATGACGCTGCCCAAAAAGTTGTGGCTATTGTGAAGTAGACTAAAAATTGCCTCGTGACGCACTGCTAGGCGCACTACGTCCAGTACAGGGAAGAGCATGCCGGCGGGCCATTTAAGCAACATGAGCAATGCCTCCAGTGCGGTCGGATCCACTTCTGGTGATTTATCTGTCAATCGTATGACTGCAAGCAAAAGTTCATCGCCCACCTTGCCGTCGTTGCTGGTTAGCTTACTGTTGAACTCTCTGAAAAGGGTAGACAATGAGCAATTGCCGCAAGGGAACCCAGATTCCTGACTATTACAGTCTCTTACTTCATCTTCTCCAACACCTTGTTGGCATCGCAAGTATCGAAGGTGCGATAGGTGCTTACGGGGAAATGTTTGTCGCTGCCGCTCACAAAGTTGACATCGATATTGGATTGCGTTTGACTGCTGGTAGTGGAGTAGCTGGAAGATCCAGTAAAGGGATCCATGTTGCCGCCGCCGCGCACATTGCTGTTGCTAGAGCCCGGCACATACCGTGAGCCGCCAGTGAAGGGATCTTGATACCCGCTGCCATAGAAATACGATGAAATCTATATACTTATATTGAAAGATGACATTGAATATGTACGTACGTTGTGGTTTGCGCCGCTACGACGGGTGCACTTTCCGAGTTCTTTATAATGAAATTGGCCACTTGGTCGAGATAGGCCTGAGGCAGATTATTGCGATGTATGAACTGTTGGGCTGCCTGCCAGGGGTCCTCGCCGCGGTTGTAAGGCAGCTTGATGGGCGGCTCCGTATCGGAGATGTCTACATTGAACACATAATCGTACTCCTTGCCCTCGTGCAGCTTCTTGCCAGAGGTTTCCTGGGCGCCGCCTGTGGCACCGGTCACATCGCCCACCAGTGACCATTTGCCTAGTTCCCAGGAGTAACACTTCACAGATCCATCCACATGACGTATCATTTTCGTTTGGCCGTCGCGAGTGCCATTAGATAGCAAAGCCTCCGGGCCGGGCAAGCTGATAAAGCAGAGGACAATTAGTATAAGCTTGGAGCTACATTAATAGTACTTACTCTGTCTTTTTGACACCGCCAATGTCCTCGCTGAGCAACGACTTATGCGTGGTCACAGCCTGATCAAAACTTGCACGAAGACTTTCATTCGCCTGGCGCGTCGGATCCTGGCTAAACACACGCACCACGCCATCGCTGCAGCCGGTCACAATGTCACCGTTTCGCAAACAAGTCACGGACCATACTGAGATCGCTGGATGCACGATAGGAGCACCCAGTTGGTCGCCCGTTATCACGTTCCACATGCGCAGTGTGCTGTCCTCGCCACAGGAGACAACAATATGTTCGCCCAGTGCTTGATTGCGGGCCATCGCGTAAATATAGTTTGTATGGCCGTTGAGTTCGCGCACACATTCGCCATCCTCGTTCCAGAATCGGAGTACAGCATCGTTGCCGCAAGAGAGAAGCGAATTAGCGGGTAGTGGAATGAGGCTACGTACGCAATCTGTGTGGCCCTTGAGCAGGCGCAGTTTTTGGCCTTGGGGGTTCCAGTAGTATATGCACTTGTCGGCACCGCCTGTGATATACTTCTGCTGGGTGGGTGCGGTGGCCACGGCCCAGACGGCCGCCTCGTGACCCTGCAGCGTAACGAATGTGATATCGCCCGTTTCGCTGATGACCCACACGCGTGCCGTCTTATCCCAGCTGCCGCTAATGAGGCTGCGCGACTGGAGGCCTGCGGCCAAGGCACAAACGGTCGACTCATGACCCTTCAACGTGATCAGAGGCACAAATGCTTCGTGCTGATAGATGCAAATGGTTGCATCATTGCTAGCCGTGCAGATCCACTGCTCGGACTCCAGGTAACAGATGTAGGATATGAAGTTCTTGTGGTCCTGCAGTGTGACACTCTCCAAGTACTCGTTGCTGCAATTGCAATATTATAATCGGACTCGAAGCCCTTTAATTTCTTTGTCTTGCTACGCACCCGATCGGCTTCCACAGTTTTGTGCTTTTGTCGCGCGAGCCGGATAGAATTAATTGACCAGTGCCTGGCGTATCGGCGCCGGCAGCGACTGCACGCACATCCAAGCTGTGGCCCAGCAACTCGCAGCTAATCTTGTAATGATCCAAAGTCGGCTCCATTTTTGCACTACTACTGACTTTGCTCTTTTTTGTCGGCGTTTTTTTTGCGAATAATATTTTATGTAGAGGTGGGAGTAACTAGATATCGATGACACTTAACTTGAGCAGGCTGTAACAGTTTAAATTGTGCTTAGTATGCAGTGCACAAATAAGAGACATGGGTAATAAAAATGTTATATGGGCTTATATTGCAACAATGATTTTAGAAATAATTTAATAATGGCAAATTTTGATATATGTTCTCTTATATTCAACGGAAAGCTGCATAACAAATTCCGCTGCTCAGTAGATTCTGCTATTATTATTTTCGCCACACCACTTACATGCTATGTTAACTTAAATATGGCTCAGTGTTAACATTTTGCTCGATAAATTCTGCTGAACAGCATACTAATACTTTCATACTAATGTCTGTGCTCTGTTTACTTTAACGTGCCGCAGTTTTACATAAAACAGTAGAAAAGAGTTTAAAGTTCCAAAACAAATTAAATAATATAATAATATATAATTAAAAGAGTTTTAGTTCGTATTTGAAATGCAGGCAGCCAGTGCAACTATTCGTGTGCCTGTAAAGCGATTTGGCTTGCTGCACCGATTTTTGCCACCCAGTCGCCAATTTGCAGCAACAGCTCCCAAATGTGAGCCAAAAGATCTGCCGCCGCAGTCGTCACTGCCGCCGTCACCGCCGCCGCCACCACCACCACCACCGCCGCCATCAGCGAAGCTTTCCATGAAGATGCGTGGCTGGCAGCTACATAACTATGGCGATATAGAGGAACTGCAGCTGTCCGACAAGCTGAAGTTGCCTCAAATCCGCAGCTCCGACGAATGTCTGGTTCGGGTGCGCACCACAGCAGTGAATCCCATTGACTTAGCCATGCTAGGTGGCTACGGATCCATGCTGCTCAATCAATTTCGCTGCCAGGCCAACGATGACATCGAATTTCCCTTGACGCTGGGCCGCGAATTCTGCGGCGAGCTCGTACAAAAGGGCATGGGCGTCCGCAATAAGCAGCTAAAGCTGGGGACTCGGGTGTGGGGCGTGGTGCCCATACCTAATAGCAATGGAGCACATGCTGAATATGTCGTGGTGCCGGCATCCTGTGTAAGTTCGCGATTCATTTAAAAGCAACACAAACTGACTTCGAGCAATTGATTCTTCCAGCTAGCGCCAGCTCCGACGCAACTAGATGACCTCGAGGCAAGCAGTGTTCTCTATGCCGGCCTGACCGCCTGGTCGGGCATGTATATAACCGGTGGGTTGGGTGGTCTATGCGGCGCCACCACCTCAGCAGGCGGTGGTGCAAACAAACGCGTTTTGGTGCTCGGCGGAAGTGGAGGTGTCGGCTCGTTGGCCATACAAATGTTGAAATCGCAAGGCGCTCAAGTGCTGGCCACTTGCAGTGAGAATGCCGTGGAAATGGTGCGCCAACTGGGCGCAGACTGCGTGGTGGACTACACAAAACCCGAAGCCATGGAGCAGCTACGCACCTATGCACCATATGACATTGTTCTGGATTGCGCCGGGCAGGGCGGACAGGCTGCAGCCGAATCGTCATACGATTTCCTACAGTATATCACATTCAGTTCTCCCCTGTTGGCCAATATCGATGAGAAGGGCCTGTTTTTGGGCGCACTGCAGAACTTCTCGGACCTGGTGCAAACGAATGTGAGGGCAGTCACGCAGCGAGGAGGACTCGTTAAGTGGGGCTATTTTTATCCTGCGGCGCATGGCATTGAGTTTCTGAGCGGTCTGGTGGAGCGGGGAAAAGTGAGTTCAGATGCATTATTATTGGATAAATCTGAAATCCAAGTTTTTATTTACAGTTAATACCGCCAATCGATAGCAGCTTTGATTTCAAGGATATGCCAAAGGCCTTTGAACGGCTAAAGTGCGGTCATATGCGTGGTAAAATAGTGGTGAATGTACAAGTCTGAGTGTTAACATAGTTGCGGGTGATAATTAATTTGTTAAAAAATAAAGTTATTAAATTCTTAAAGATTTCTAAGTTTGTAATTGTGTATATTTGAATTAACACCGCAACAGTTCTGCAACGGTTACTATAAAATCTATCGATAGTACAGTCGATAACGTCGATTGCTTTATTTCAGCTTATCGGCCGGCCTACGTAGCCAATTGGTTAGTTCTTCTGCAAATAGTATATTTAATTATTTTTTTTAAGAATAAAAAAATTAGAATTTGTAAGCGCGGCGAGAGTTGGAAAGTTATACAAATGTTGATTGAAAAAAGTAAACAAGCTGAACATTTAGAAATAAGAATGTTTAATTTGCAATTGAATGTTTTATTTTTGTTAGTGCTTCAATACTAGCGCCGGTTAACTGTGATGAGTGACTAACTATAAGTAGTCAATATGACTATTAATTAAAAACAACAAAGAACACAATGCTTTAATTGTTCTTCAAGATTTATAAATTATAAATAAACAAGTACATATGCACCGCCGGCAAAAACAGAGAGCGCGTATTTGGAGAGCGCCAAGAGAGCGAATAGGCTAGAGTTGTCAGCTGTTCAGAAGCGGTTTGTTGGTACTATTTAAATAGGCGTACAACTGAGATAATTTATGTTCTTCCTTAAAATATCTTTGAAATTCTGTTTAAATATATCATTCAAATATCGCGTAGTTTCAATTAATTATATGAAATTGGTACAACGAAATTGGATTATATAATGTACCAATGTTTTCGCAAGGCGCATACTCGCACGCCCATCAAAGGTATGAAACTGTGGCAATGAAACTGAAACAGATGGGACTTTTAAAACATTTCGGCTGCTTTGGCGAAAGACAAAGGTACGCACAGCCTGAGAGAGAGAGCACGAGAGAAACAATAACAAATTTGGTCCGAAACATGCTCATCAACATGCGCGAAGCCGGGCAACATGTACCTCAACATTATTTGCCTTTGTGTTTGTTGGAATAGTGTGTGTATGTTGCTAAACATTTTTTGTTGGAATCCACGAGTGTCGCTCAAGGGAGATGAAGATTTTCGGAAAACGTGCTTCTCTCCGCTGCGTAGCAACATGTTTCCCAACATGTATCTGATATAGCATGTGTGCTGCACTCAGTGCCGTTGTACTTTAGAAATGAAACTCCGGCTGAGTTGTTGTTACGTCGTCGAGAGAGTCGCGTGTTCATATGTCGCGTTCGCGTTCGCGTTCTGATGTCCGTTGTTGCCACGGGCTTTGTCTGGTCGCAATGCATCAGCAGCAGTTCTGACTGACAACAGATAAACAAATCGGCAAGCCGCGAAGTGTGTCTGAAAAGTGCGTGTCGTTCATTTATACGGTAAATGGTAAATGGTAGTCCCGTTAATCAATTGCTTGAGTTAAAGCATCGTGTTGCTTCGTTGCTTTTTGTGTGCATGTGCTTCTGTGTGTGTATGTATGTGTGTGACTGTGTTGCTAAACAATAATAATAAAGTAATCAATTGGCACATGAGGTTCCATAAATTGTGTTTAATTCGAATTACGCAAATTTAAAAAAATGCATAATATTAAAGAAAACGCAAGAATTAAAGCAGAATGCGCAGAGCACAAAAGCGGCACAAACAAATAATAGAAACATTTTTTGGATATCTTTTCCAGATATTTTTCATTGATTTTTCTACTGGCGCGCCACACACACCGCCACATATAATGAGAGCGAGCGAGAGAGAACAATAGAGAAGGGGACAGGGAGACAGAGCGAGAGAACGTTGCCATGCCGCCTAGTGTTTTGTGCACATTTTGGCATTGGAACACATTGTGGCCTGTGTGTGTGTGCGGATTATCCTTTTTTATATATTTTGTTTATTTTCAAGTGCCTGTTTCCATTTTGTTGCGCACATTTTGTGTTGCCCATTCGTTTCGCTGCATTTCATTCTCGCGGCGTTTCAATACAATAAGCATGTGTGTGCTTGCCTGTGAGAGTACTGGCAGCTGCCCTATGTAAATTTCTCTCTCGTCGGCGTTCGTTCTTGCTGTCGTTTTACCCCCCTTGGTGGCAGAGTTTCATGTTTTGAACTCTGCTTTGCTCGCCCATTCGCATCGTAGCTGGCGCCGCTGTTGACGCTGGCGCCGCGCGCTCTCGCTCTCTGTCCTCGTCTCTCTCTCTCTCACTCTCTCTGTGCACATCTTTCGCCTGGCGCTGGCTGCAGTCGTTGTCCTTTGGCCATGCGTTGCGCGTTGCCAACCAATTTGCCGTGTGTGTTGTCATTGTCATAATAAGAAAACTCCTGCTGTGGCTGCGGTCTCTGCAATTGTTTATGCGTCATTTCCTTGCAAAATGTGAAACATTTTACTATCATCTTTCCAGTGTCCTCATGCCATTACGGCTAATTACGATAAAAGGAGCTAACAACAATAAAATCAAGAACAATTTTCAAAGAAAAAACTAAGAAATCGTCATGAGGCTATTGTACTGACAAAATATAAGTGTTGCATACTTTTCGCGTCGCGTGTTACTTATTCAATTATTCGGTTCGTCTACCCCGTACGTGTACTAACCGTTAATAAATCTCTCTTCACCTATCTCTATCATCTTCGTGTGTGTGTGCTTGTGTATATTTTATACTGCTCTGTACATATGTACAATATTTGTCGTCATTATCATCATCATCATCATTGTTGTTGTTGTTATTTACTCGGCATTCGTATAAAGTAAAAATATAAATAATTTGTGTTCTTCGGTGTTGTCTCGTGTAAGTGTCTATAATTTGTTTAACTACGACAAGCGATCGGCGAAAAGCAAGAGCAAAGGCAATCATAACATTTATCGATATTCAATTTCGATATGGCAAATGGTCAATTGTGTGCGTATCGATTTGAATCTCAACTGCCCAAGCAATCGTCTCTCCAACTTCAACTCCAACGCGAACAACAACAACTACAACAGCAACAGCAACAAGCCGTTCAGCAACAAGAAGAAGAGAAGGCTAGAAACGCCTAGCAGCTGAAAATTCTTCATTTGCAATTCCCAGACCAGAAAACTAATTTGGGAATTTCACAAAACTTGAACACTTGAAAAGGTAAGTCGCAACTCTCTAACAATTTGATTAAATCTACATAGACATAAGGTAGTACACATCGAGCATTACATAGTCTTGAAATATCCTATTTAGCAGTATGCTAAAATATACATTTTTAAGTAAATATTATTTAAATTAATAAAAGTTTATAACATTTATAACATTTTATTTGTATATAACTTTAATTTAAAATATATTTATTTAATAAATGTTGGTAGTTGTAAATGAGAACATATTTTAAATGTACATATGATATATGATATGTCAGGATAATTTATGAATTGGTTGAGAATTGTGTCTATATATCAAATAAATTATTTTATTTCTCTATATTTTTTAAGTTATATTTCTAAGTGTGTTTCATGGTCAGAGATCTTGACCTTTAAATGAGTAACATTAATATTTCTTCTCTTACTTTTCGTAAAATGTTATAAAATATTTAATGAAGTAGAACTTATGTTATTTTTAAATAGGAAACTTAAAGAGATTCGTCTTTTATGTTTCCTTTTATAACTAATAGTCCAATTATCATAACAATGATATGCTCATATATATGTATGCATATATGGGTATACAAAGAGATACAACTGAGATGACAGTCAGATGATACGACGTTTTCCATTAAAAGATTAAAAAACAACAAAAATGTTGACAGGCAGCGCCTGTGGAGTGAGAATCGCCCCTCGGCGATATCTAAAGTGCATTTGCATAGCGAAGCGATCAACTGTGAAATCAGTTAAATAATTTAGACATAAAACCAATCCAAATCACATGCATAACAGATAAGAGATAACCGAGGCAGCAGGTCGGCAATTTAATGATTGGAATCGTCCAAAAAAAAAAACAAATGTTGTTTTCGCCTGCACCAACTGCTTGAGATACAGATACGCACTTGGCCTGCGACGGCGTTTGAGTTGTATCTGCATCTTTTAATGACATCGCAGGCGGCGTTTGCTTTTGTTACCCACTGCGGCCGCAATGTGCGGGCAGCATGTTGTTGCTTTGTTTACATTTCGGCTTGAAAACGTTCTGTACGATACCAGATGTGTGTGCGTGTGTGTGGCAAGCACAAGATAGGAATTGCTGCTGCTTGTTGTTCTCGTTGTCGATGTCTGCAAAATGCATTTTGCTATTTTGGTTAACTACTTGGCTCTAGGCAGAACGAACGTCCACTCTAATGAGGCAAATGCCGTCGTGCGCATCATGTGACACTAGGCAAATATCGGTACGACTTTCAGAGCCATTACCCAACTGGCTTCTACGCTCTATCTGCATTTGTATCGCCATCTCGTATCAGCGCGTGTTTTCTTCTTTGCTTTCGGTAAGGACACAACGTGCCGCAAATAAAGATTGCCTCTTACCATGTTCTTTGTGTTGTACAACGCATTAGCGTTTGACGAAAAGAAAAATCAGAAAATAAAAATAAAAAAAAAAACGAAGATAGAAACCAAAGCTATTCAAGGCAACGTCAGGAGGACGTCAGCAGCAGAGAACATCACGTCCAGCGTCACATTTGAAATTCCAATATCCTGAATATCTGGCTACGCAGTGGACACACACACATACATACACACTCCAACACACACACACACACACACTTTTGTCTCGCTCTTTGTCCAATTAATGAGGCTTTGTTGAAAAAATGCACTTAAGTCTGTTTACAGATGATTAGGAACAATTCATTCAACTTAAAGTAAATAGCTCGATACTTAAGCTGTTCTATGTGATTCTCAAATTTGTGTGTTTCTTTTACGATCTTGAATAGTTAGAAGTGTTATGAGAACTGTTACCAATTATTAAGCCTCGCCACTCTTAGACATTTTGATATTTTTTTCTAGAAACTTCAAGTTTCTTAATAAATACAAGTGGAAATCTTATGAATAAAATTGAAAAATCCATATCAAAGCTTATTTTTTCAGCATAAAGTT